TTCAAATAACACTCCATTACTCTCCCCTTATCTAAACTTTAAAGTAGATTATCTCGTTAACAGGTTAACGGAAATCAAAAATTGTAACACCAAAATTTATTTAAAGTTACATTCCGTCTATTTAAGAATTTTAAATTCTGAATGTGTTGGTTTTACAAAGATATTTATTTTAGACATTTCATAGACATATTAAATAAATAATGCATTATTTTTACCATAATTTGACGTATTGTATAAGCAACATTATTAACCGAAATCCATTCAGAATCGTTTTTCATTAGCAATGGTTAATCATTACGTACAGATATACATTCAATTTTCTCTTTACATTCCCAAATTCTCATCTACAACAGTGGCTCACCCGTGTTCGAAATATTTCCGTGTTTTTAATACAAGTTCTTATTCGAAAAACCGAAGTTGGTATCACTACAGGATACTCCTTAAATATTGTGAAAAATCTGAGTATTCAAAAATATTGCCTTTAACTACACTTAAATATTCCAAATATCAGAAATTTGAATGTATGCAAAATTTAACCAAAAAAAAAAAAAAAAATGGTGATGTGAACACGCTTAGTGAATCATCTATGTGGATGTAATATTTGAAAAAGGAACATTTTAATAATACATTATTCGTGTAGACCAATTTATTTTCTCCCTACGATTCTAAGCTTAACGAGGAAGCTATTAAATTATGCAATAATGATGTATAAACCTGTTTTTTTTTTTTTGTGTTGAGAAAATACAATAAAAATAACATCGATCGCTAATATAATTATAGTTGTAATATGATAAATATTAATATAAGTGCCTGCTTATTAGTATATTTATTTTAAATATCAAATATCAATATAATTTCAGGATACCTAAGTGTATACTTTTTCTCAAATTATATGAAATATTTACAAATGTATTGTAAACCATAAAAAAAAAAAGAAAGAAAAAGAAAAACGGTATAAGAAGGAATATTAAGAGTTTTTCAATTTCCGGTGTAAATTATATATGTACCGGGTGATTCACATAAGTGAGTACACTCATTATCTCTGAAAGTATTAACTTTTTTCGTAAATTGTTTTCTAGAACATTTAAGAAACAATCAGCTTTGCGATTTTATTTTTATGTTATTTTGTGTAACCCTTATTTTTAGGGGTAAAACCACTACCTACCTAGTATTAGTTTTGATCAATTTGAATATTGAAATTTTTTATATCTCGTCAACGGATCAACAGAAATCAAAAATTTCAACGCTGAAATTTATTTTAACTAATACTCCATATATATTTATGGACTTTTTATTATAGGTTGCCATTTGAAAATCAAAAGTAGATAGTGGTTTTACCTCAAAAAATAAGGGTAACGAAAATCAACATAAATATAAAATTGTAGAACGGCTTGTTTTTTAAATGTTCTAGAAAATAAGTTCCGTAAAAAGTTAATACTTTCCGAGATAATGAGTGTACCTTACCTAACGAATCACCTGATATATGAATAAAAAAAAAAAAAAAAAAATTACTTATTCCGAATTCTTAATTTTATTAATTTTTTATAGATAAATCGGATATTCAGCTGTCTACAGGGATAAGCTAACTCATAGATGTCACGAATAATATTATTATTTAAACATTGTTCTTTATGTATTTTATACAATGTTAAACTTATCAAAATAATACAATAACTACAAATTTATTCATTTATTTGGACAGTTTTAGTGCAGCGATCATATTATATACGATTGTAAAAAAATGATACTGTCAAAGCACATCAAATGACAAGAATTTTAATCCCCGTGAATTGATATCATACTACAATACTTTTGACTATTGATTAAATATTATATTAATATAATATAATTTTATCTAATATTATCTATGAATAATATTCACATTTGTCAAATAGAACAGGCATATTTTGCACGTGGGTGCAGTCACTGTTGTAGGTGGAAAGTTGGGAATTTAATGTATATCTGTAAACAACGATAAACCGTTGTTAACGAAAAACGATACTGAGTAGAGTCCAGTTAATAGTGTTGCTTTGTCAACAACATATAAAATGTCATATTATGGTAAAATTATCACAACAGTGTGCGTTTCTATGACAACAATGATTGTTTGTAAAAAATTTAAATAATAAGAACTTAATAATAACAATAAATAAATAAAAACGGTTAGGTTAGGTTAGGCAAAGAACCTAGGTTTACCTAATTATCTCGAATATTAATGAGAATTCCCAAAAATGACCTTCTATTGTACCACCCAGAGAACATTTCCTTTCAGAAAAGGTGCTATACTTGATAATTGTAATAAGCTTTCTGGTAGAAAAATTGTTCACATAAAAAAAAAATTAACATCTTTGTAAAACCAATATATTTTTTGCTACACTCAGAATCTAAAATTTCAAAAAATTGTAGAAAATAAAAAGACTACACCTAAAAAATTTCAACCAACAATTTTTTTTTAAAAATCTATTATATAAAATGGCTATTTTGAATTTTTAGATTCTGAATGTAGCGAAGAATGTATTAGTTTTATAAAGATGTTTATTTTTTTTTTAAGTGAACACTTTTCTACCAGTAAGCCCATTCCGATTATCAAGTACCTTTTTTAAAAGAAAATATTCTTTGGATGGTACTTTAGAGAGGTCGTTTTTTTGAAATTCTAATTAATATTCGAGATTATGAGGAATACCTGTTTCTTTAGGTTAAAAAATATTAAAAATAAAGTTGTCATTGGCAACCGCTTTTATTTTATTTTGATTAGCCAATAGTATATAACTATGATTGCTCAACAATTATATTTTAAAATGGTGATAAAATAAAATAAGAAGTACAAAAAATAATACAGTAATAAAATTAACCTAATATTGACTATAAAATGAAGGCAAGGTTGAGGAGCATGTTTAGTATTTTAAGAGAATTACATAGTGTGAGTCATTAGGCCTGTAGAGCAGGGCAATCGAATAGAATATGGAGGTCACAGATACATTTATAAGAGTGAAGTATACAACAAATTGTTTACAATTTATTACAATAAATTGGACAATATATGATCAGCGTAAATTTAAGTTAACTGGTTAGGTTAACTTAGGATATTAGGAGAAAAATATCTATGTCTCGAAGTGAATTCAGCTGATATGTTGTTCCAGTGAGAAGACTACAGGTTATAATTTATAGCTTATAAATGTAATGGTTTAAAAAAGGAACAAAATCAGACTGACGTAGATCAGTAAGGGAAGGGCGGATTAGATTGGAAGTTGATTTGATCAGATTATCAGCAACCTCGTTACAATGTATTTCAATGTGACTGAAACCTAATGAAAGTGAATTATACAGTTTAATTGATTGAGGGAGAAGATAAGAGATTTAATACGAAATGAGAATTGAAAGGGTTGGAAGTTATGGTTTGTAAGCATGACACAGAGTCGGAGGCTATTAAATAATTATTTGGAGCGAAATTCAAAATTAGCGTTAAGGCTTCAATGATGGCATAACATTCGGTTGTGAAAGAGGAAGACGAAGGGGTAAGATTATTAGTAAAAGAAACATACAACTGTGGAATAAAGAATGCATAGCCAACTAAAAGGGGCGAAACTGAACCATCATATGACGATTCAGATAAAATCTGAACAATTTTCATTAAGGTAATTTGAAAAAGCAGTGTTAACCATTGGGTAATATAATGCTTTTAGGTCGTTTTAAGACAAATCTAAAAACTGATGGCCAGAATGAACAAGAGAAAAGTGGAGAATCGTACGACAGATCGTACAGAGGTAGTTTAGCTGAGTTAATAGTGTATAGGGAAAACATTAGAAACAGTATTGGTGATAATAGATAAGCCTGGGGTAGATTTAGGAACATAACTCCAATTGATATCAAAAATTAGGCGATTGCTATGAGATATGATAAGAAATTTGCCAAATAGCCAGTGGCATCTGATGTTAAAAGGAGGACAGGCAGACTCAATTTCAATGGCAGGACAGAGAGTACACCTAACGTATCCCATTATAGTTCTAAGACAGTAAATTTGAAGTTTGTTAATATGTACAATTTGAGTAGAAAGCTGAGCCTAGAGGGATGGGATTAATTATTAGAAGAGATAAAAAGTAAGTGACTGGATAGATTGTTTTTATTGGTTTTTTCATTTAAAATTGGGCGCAGATGAAAATAATATATGACAAAATTGATGCAGAATTTAGTCGCGCACGGTATTTTTGACAGGTTACAGATTTTAAAAATGGCTATAAATTCGACAAACAATAATTATAGGTTCTAAATAATTTTAATAAATAGCTTAACATGTAAATTAAAGGTATCAAATTGTACGAAATAAAATAAATTACTCACAATGAGATATTAGTAAAATAATGAACTCACAATCTAAAAGACCATGATGCAACTCATGGCGGATTAACTATACAAAAATTTATTTAAATATGGAATTGGACAAGGTAAGTGTTAGATATATGAGCTCCTTCAAAGTGGAATATCTTAGCAATGGAATATCAAAATTGATTTATATTTTTAAAAAACAAATTCTGAAAAACTTAATATTTTTTGATATAATGAGTGTTGTACTTTAAATGAATCACCTTGTATACATTTACTGTCAAACCATGTTTAAAAATGAATATCTTTGTGCTATAGGTTTGGCTGTAAATAGCAAGACAAACACTTTATTTTCCCATAACAGAGGGTCAATTCTATTCAAAATGTACTGTTAACATTAAAAAAAAAAAAAAAAAGGTTTTAATATTTTTTTCGGTGTGATTTATGATTGTGACAATAACGCATTAGCCGAATACACCCCCACATTATGCTGTTCTAAAATCAATGGGTAAATATTTATAATTTATTTGCAAATACTCAAGGAAGTAAATAAATAAATCAAACAACAAAGTATACAGAATTAAAATATTAATATTCAAACGTTAAAAACTAGATTTAACTATGGTGTTCTATCACCGAAATATCAACATTTAAATAATTTATAATTAAAAATTAAATATGTGTACTTAAATTGAGAAAATGATTTTAACAAACATCAAACTCATAAGTTTTCTAAAATATACAAGTCTTCAAGCGTTTGGTCTTCCAAATAAATTCTGACGGATTCATAATATGTATCTCCGGTATGACTATAACGGTGTGACATTTTAAATTGCTCGATGTGAAAATGATTTCATACAAATATTACAACTATAAGGTTTTAGACTGGTATGAGTTCTTATGTGCACTGTTAATTATGTTTGTGAACAAGTAGTTTCAGACACAAGTCACACCTATACAAGTTTCTGGTCAATAGATATATAATCATATGTTTGGTTAAGACAGAGTTTCTTCAAAATGATTTTTGACATTCATCACATTTTTAAAGATCTCTGATATGAGTAAACATATGATAATTCAAGCTGCTCAATTGTGGAAATGATTTAATACAATAATCACATTTAAATGGTTTTTCACCTGTATGAGTCCTTATGTGTACGGCCAAGCCAGATTTTCTTTTAAATGATTTTTGGCATACGTTACATTTGTACGGCTTATCTTCAGTATGAATCAACTTATGATTATTTAAGTTGGATTTGTGTGAAAATGATTTTATACAATAATTACATTTAAATGGTTTCTCACCTGTATGAACTCGCATGTGTAAGGTAAAGACAGATTTCATTCCAAACGATTTTTGGCATACCTCACATTTGAAAGGTAAATCTCCAGTGTGACTTAACTTATGATAATTCAAACTGGTTATTTGTGAAAATTGTTTTATACAATTATTACATTTAAAAGGTTTCTGACGAGTATGTGTCAATACGTGTAAGGTCAAGTCTGATTTTTTTTTAAAATTTTTCTGACATAGTTCACACTTGTAAGATTTCTGATCAGTATGAGTAATCATGTGTACTCCTAAAGTATTTAAGTGTCTAAAAGATTTCATACAAACATTACACTTATAAGGTTTTTGACCTGTATGAATCCTCATGTGTATTTTTAGAGAATGTTTGAGTTTAAATGATTTTTGACACACGTCACATTCATAGGGTTTATCTCCAGTGTGAAATAATTTGTGATAATTTAAGTTGACCAATTGTGAAAATGATTTTTTACAATTATCACATTTAAATGGTTTTTCACCAGTATGAGTCCTCATATGTACAGTTAAATTATTTGACTGTCTAAACAATGCCATACAAATATTACACTTATAAGGTTTCTGGTCTGTATGAATCCTCATGTGTACTTTTAAATTATTTTTGTAATTAAATGATTTCCGACATATGTCACACTTAAAAGGTTTCTGGACAGTATGAGTCCTCATGTGTACTTTTAACTTATTTTTGTAATTAAATGATTTCTGACATATGTCACACTTAAAAGGTTTCTGAGCAGTATGAGTCCTCCTCATGTGTACTTTTAAATTATTTTTGTAATTAAATGATTTCTGACATATGTCACATTTAAAAGGTTTCTGGACAGTATGAGTCCTCATGCTTACTTCTGAATTAGTAGAATGTTCAAATGATTTAGTACGCATATTGTACTGGACAGGTTTTGTAGGCTTTATGAGTAACGGCTTTTCTTTTAAATGTTTCATTACATGTAATTCCAAATTCTTTTTTGAATTAAACAATTTACCACAATTATAGCACGAATAACTTTTTTTTCCAAATTTAAATTTTTTATACATATTCGATTCCATAGGATCTGTTACAATAGTAATTTCACTTTTATATATAACACCATCAATATAATCAATTTCTTTTTTAATTTGAATATTATCTAATTGTTCTTCAACTTCTTTAGAGTTGCATGCTAAATATCTGAAAAATTAAATGATCATAATACTTTGATAATGCTTATTAATTTCATTAAAAACTCATAAGTTGTTTTTACAATAAAATAATTATTATAAATAATGTCCTAATATTAATGTTTTGTAAAATAGTTTTTTAGAAAAATTTTTGTGGTCGAAACTTTTGTTGGTCTTATATTTTTTACGATTTTTCAAAAAATTTGAATAATATTTTTTTCAATCATAACAATATTGTTAATCAACATAAATTACAATTTTTGATTGATTAATACTATCTAATGTCTACTACATTGGTTCCCAACTTTGGGTCAAGGAGGTTTTTTTGTGGGTTGCAAAAACATAACATACTTTTATATTTTACAATTTACATATCATATTATTTAGTATTTATTAAATTTTATTTTTGAGAAAAAAATTTCCAAAATATTTTGGTAATCAGATAATAAAATGATCGTAGTGCGAGCTGTGTGTTGTACGCAGTAGTACTCAGTAGAGAGCTATTAACAATAAATACAGAAATAGAGGAAAGATGGGTAGAATATTTTGAACAATTGCTCAATGGAGAAGCCCCTGAAGAAACTTTTAACTCTATACAAGAACAACCCAATAATTACTGATGTAAAACACCTACATTACAAGAAATTAAGTCACAAATTAAGAGATTAAGAAACCATAAGACCCCTAACAAAGATGGCTTTCAAGGCAAAATTCTAAAATGTAGACGAGACAATGGTGAAAATGGTTCACAAATTAATTGAAAAAATATGGAGTACTGAAGAGATTCCTAAAGATTGGAATACGGCATTAATATGCCCTATACATAAAAAGGAATGTAAAAAATATAGAGGTATGGCCATAGTGAATGTGACTCATAAAATAATATCTTTTTGCATTCTGGATAGTCGCCTTTTTCACAAAAAATTATAGGGTACGACCAGAGTAGTTTCAGAGGAAACATATCCACAATAGACCAAATATTTATTATAAGACAATTATTTCAAAAAAAACTTGGGAATTTGATCAAGAACTACATATACTCTTTGTAGATTGCAAAAGGCTTATAATAGTATCAATAGGGAATGTATTCACATAATTTTGGAACATTAACATCTGCCACAAAAAACTATAAGACCAATTAAGGCCAATTTAAAAAAAAGGCTATAGTAAAGCCAAGGTTGGTAATATATTAACAAGATAGGTTCAGGTGAACAAAGGCCTCCGGCAAAGTGATACACTATCCCCAATTATTTTTAATTTGGTTCTAGAAAAATAGAACAATGGACCAGATAAAGGGGAAAAATTGGATGGAACATCAATAAGTCTGTTAGCATATGCAGACGATATAGTGTTTCTAGGAAACAACCAAAATACAGTGAAAAGTTTATGCGTAAGATTTATAGGAAAAGGCAAAAAAGCGGGATTGTAAATTAATGAAGGGAAAACAGAATACATGAAAATTAGAAAAAGACGGGATGAAAGACAAATAGAAGAATTCTTAAAGGTTCCTTCAGTTTTAAAAAAGAATTAAAATATTTTGGTATAATGATCACCCAATCAAACAACATGGAGTATGAGAGACTAAGATTCAGATGGGCAACAAGTGTTATTTTGCCTTGGGTAACTAATTTAAGTCAAAAACACTCAAAGAAGCTAAACGTCTAACTATAATTTACTCAAATAAAATCCAACTTATTGTGTGAAACGCAATGTTGGACTTTAAGGAAATGTGATGAGTTAAAACTGAGGGTTTATGAGAGAAAAATATTAAGAAGGATTTATTGATCCTGCCGTGATCTGCAAATGGGAGAATGGCGTAAGAGACACAATAAGGAGTTATGTGACCTGTACAACAGACCGGATATAGTAAGTGTGATAAAAAGGAAAAGACTAGAATGGGCAGGTCACACGTGAAGGAAACCTGAAGCCATGATAAAGACAGTTCTAGATGAGAATTCAAGAGGTAAAGACCATTGGGAAGACCCCAAATGCGATGGGAGAATCGTGTCAAGAAAGATGTACAAGACTTATACCTGGATGAAGATTGGCGCATATTGTTGCAAAATTATAATGGATGGAGACAGTTATGTTTGGATATGTAGTCTAAAAGGCCGTAAACAATAAAAAAATAATGAAATAATAATATCATATTATAGGTAATGGGTATCGGAAAATTAAATTAATAATGGTGATTTATGTTGATAACAATATTGTTTTGATTGAAAAGAAAATTATTCAAATTTTTGAAAATGTGTAGAAAATAAAAGATCATACTTTAAAAAAAATATCTATTTTGAATTTTTTTTTTAAAAAAATGATTGTAATATTTAGAATTTTTTATTTCAAATCAACTTTGTCCTAAAAAAATGTTCATATTTAAATTGTAGCGCAGAGGCAAACTAATTATTTAAAAAAAAAATATATCAAAAATACAGAATAGAATAAAAGTTATTTCAAGTGGTAGATCATTGTGGGACACCTGTATAAAACAAATCAAAACCTCTGAATAGAAAAAAATCAATACAATTATCCTTGATAGTTAAATTTTATGAATAATTAAAATATTAAACTGTTTAATGACATATTTATACTATATAAACAGTATACTTCTTTATATTATTTATTGATGAACGATTGTTGACAATAATGATTTTAATAAAATCATAATCTAATAATTTGTACTGTAACTTTTACACAATTACATGATGACATGAATATGATTGGTGGAAAAACTTGAGAATTAAATGAAAACAATTAATCTATCACTCTCATCACTAAGTCGCTATGGATTATTATTAACTTCTCAATGTAAGGTCGAGGAGAAAATAGCAGCATTCCTAAGCTGTGTCCACTTTTTATTATTCTTTTACATCATATATCTACAATACAATAGTAAAATATTAAATTACATAATACTCACTCTATTTGCACCGGCTTTTTTTCATTATAGTTATATGTGGTGTCATCAATTACGAATTCTTCTTTGATTGGTCTGTTCAGAAATGGGTCATCACATCTGAAATAAGACACAAAGCAATTCAGTTTTTAGAATATGTTATAAATGAATTGCATAATAACTTTTATAAATAAATAAGTAATTAAATTAAATTTTAGATATTGGGCGATAATTAGTTACTAAAGATTTATCACCTTTTTTAAAAATTGGAGTGATATAATTATTTTTCTACACAGTTGGGAAAGTTCCGGTTTATAAAGATGTGTTAAAAAGATAGATGATACAATGAGGATAAACCTACAATTATAAAGAAAACAGGAAGCTACTTAATCAGGTTCAATACAGTTCATAGAACTAAGATTATAGAGTTCATTGAAGACATCTAGGATGCTTATGGAACAATTATTAATAATTTCGAAGGCTTCGATAACAGGACTGGTAAAAGGTGGTAAATTAACTGTTTTGTATGTGGATGCAAAATAGTGACTGAATAAATCAATAATAATTTGACCACCATCAACTACTTCGTTATTGAAGAACAAGGAATTCAGAAAACTAGTGGAACCTTTTAAATTCTTAATAAATGACCAAAATTGCTTGGAATTTGATTTAAGTGAATATTGCATCTTATTAAAATAGCAAACATAATCATGTTTGCTGCGTAATTTACATTGAGCTCGAATTAATAAAAAATTTAATTAACCAATATTAGATATGGATAATTTAAAGATGGCATGATAATGTTTTTTGTTTAATTAAATTTCTTAACTGTTTATAGAACCAAATGAGAAATTTAGAACTAAAAAAATTTCAATTGAAATGAAATTATCTATGGTAAAATAAAAGACAGAATAATATTCTTTTAATAATTCAGATATATCATTACTTCTATTAAATATGGCGGGCCAATCAGAATTAATTAAATAAGATAATATAGATTGATGATCACTTTTTTACCAATCATAACAGAGTTCTGAACAAGTAATTGGAGGAGAAACATTAAGATAAGAATAATCTAAATATAAAGGAGGATGACAGATGTCAATATGAACAATAGGATTAATGTATACAGAGGCAATAGGAGAAGGAGAGCTTGATAGAACAAGAGCGAGCATTGATCCTTTGGCATTAAATATATTGTTCATTTGAAAAAGATTTAGCATGGATAAGTTTTGAAGAAAGTAGATTCTGAAGTTAGTAGATTTAAATTTGAGTTTGGCAATGCATCATTAAGATTGGGAAGGTTAAAGTCACCAAATAGTAAAATAGTAAAATTATATGGATATAATAAAAATATATAATCTATAATATTGAAATAATCTTGGTATAAAGATGAACTAGAACTTGGAGGGTTATACACGACTAAGTATTAATTTTATTTTTGAATTCATTTTAATCTTAACAAATAATAACTCTAATGAACAGACATCTAAGTTAAGTTTTGAGGAGAAAAATGAATTATTAACATATTATTAATATGAATTATAAAACAAATAAACATCTTTGTAAAACCAATATATTCTTTGCTAAACTCAGAATGGAACTAAAAGTGTGCAAAGTTTAATATATTTGTTATAACTGTTAAAAAAAAATAAAAAAGGAATTAACATACCTATACATTTTTTTACGTTAAATATTATGATTAACTTGATGATTATTACTTAATAATATTTGATTAATTATAATGTCTAATCATTTTCTTAAAACCCTAAACATCTATAACCTGAAAAAAATGTATATAGAATAAATTCTAGCCCAAAAAAGAATGCTGTTCTTTCAGAACAATTTAAATAGGTATGTACCCAATATTGTTCATTGCATATTTTAAAATATTAAGTAATAACCAGGGTGGCCAGGTACCTTATTACCTATTAAGATCATATACAATGTAAATATAAAACAAAATATGTATCAATATTTTATAGGTACATAAAAATTGTAATAATATTAATAATATTTAAAAAGTTTCTCACTTTGGTTTTTGTGGACAATTTTTGACATTTTGGTCAATTTCCATGATAACTGCATAAGATAAGTAGCTAAAATCTACAATAAATAAACAAATACATATTAAAATTCATAAAAAAAGGAACCTATTTAAATAAATTATTATAAAGTCACTGCGTAAATCTAATTATAATTTATATAATGTCATCAAACAACTGATAACATAATAAAAATTTTTTTTTTACTCCCGGGCGCATATAAGCAAGCGTACATTGTTAGAGAACCCATTGTTATGAAAATCCTGCTCTTTGGCTTCAATCCCAACGAGATAACAATTTCATTATCAGTTATGATTTTTAAATGTTACAATTTATAAAAACTTAAGTGTTTTGTTATATTAGAATTTAAAATACCGTTCATATGATTATTATTAAAATAGCATTCATATTAGATCAATTATTAACATGTACAGAAGAAATCATTTTTTTAGGTAGGTAGGTAGGTTAGGTACACATTAAATTGAATATCTAATTAATATTTCAGGATAAGATATTGTTTCACATTAAAAGACATTATTCCATATGCTAATAGAAAATTCAAACGTGAAGAACACTCATAGATGAAAATAAATAAATTACAAAATTTGAGATACAAATGGCATTCATACATAATCATTTTTGACCTCACAATCTATGTTGTATGTATAAATCACAATACTTTGTTTTCATTGTCTGTTATAACTTAAAAAAGAAAATAAATTATAATACAATTAATTGTTATTCACATCAGCGCATAAAAATAATAATTAAAATTAAAGTCTTACAGAAAAAAAAAAAAAAAATAATAATAATAATAATAAAAATAGTCTAATACCTATAATAAAAAATATGAATGAAAAACTAAAGATTTTTTACAAACCGATAATGGAATTAATATCTTATTGGGATTGGAGCCAATCGGAGAACAGGATTTCAAAAGGGTTCGCTAACAATGTTCGCTTTGCTCATATGCCTCCCGGGCAAACCTAAACCACCCATTCAAATATACCAATAATTGAAGATTTTTTTTAAAGTACAGTCTGAAAAATATCAAGTTACTCTAAAGTTAAATTGTTACAATGCACATATTGTATGTGTCATTGAAATGTACTCATGTAAAATAAATATACATAGAAATTTTAAAAGATAACAGGTATGTAACGGAAATGTGTTGGCTTGAGAAAACAAATTATAATAATAGGTACTAATTGTGGGTTCATGCAAATGAAATTATGTATGTTTAAAACAAAAAAACGCACGTCCTGGTGGATTTATGAGAACATGAATGCCGTCGTTCTCGTCGAGTCAGAACGACAAAAAAAAAAAACAGACAGATTTAATACGCACACTTCGTAAATTTTTCACTGTTAATTTGCGATCGGGGTGGGCGGAGCGGTCATACTAGCGGACTCGTACCACTGAAATTTATCGGGGAAAAAAAAACAAACAAACCAACAACGAACGGATATTCCGTGCACGACGGACGTTGCACTGTTGCACGGGCGAGAAGTTGACGGGGCGGAGTAGAAATTTAATGTTTTCACGTGCGCAACGATTAACCGTTGACGACGGAAAACGGCCGAGTTCGGCTGTACGTATTATACTCAAAACGCCGTACTAGTGAACGATTACACGGTTACACGAAACGCGAACCAACGCATTTCGCGAATGTCCCGGTACCCAGAAGAGTTGTTCACGGAACGGATAGATAGATAGAAAAAAAAAAAAAACTAACAAACAAACACACAAACGTAATTTTAAAACCAACGCATATAGGCACATTCATCGGTCACTCGGAATCTAAAAAACCGTATCGAAACGTGTTTACAAATTATCCGGACCGTTAATATGCACACGGGCCGAAATATGTTGACAAAGAGCATGTTGTCGCGCGGTTCGCGGAGACGGCAACCGTTTTTGGCGCGGGGTTGTAGATGCATACCCGGAATCTTCACCGCGTAGTTTTGACTTCTCGAGCGACCACCGCTCCCGGTTAATACACAGATCCACGGACCCGACGCAAACGGAATAAACAACAAAACGAGACGGGGAAAAAAAAAACCGACAACACACCACGAGGCGAGACGAAACAACTACAAGTTCAAAACGTCAAACTCGACAACTGACAAAACCGCGGTCACCTGTCGGGTTCGCGAACAGTGTTGCCAAGTAACAGTTCAATAAATCCTGTGGCGTAGGTGTAGTTGGTCGAATTACCCACGGTCCCGACGAATTCTCGCCGAACGTACTGGACGGGCATGCACGCCAGAGCGTTTCGGCGCAATCGCAAATGTATAAAACCGGTAGTTCGGTGTGCCGACGGGGGCGTAACGTAACGTCGCGATCAGTTACGGGAATTGTGGGTCAGTGGAGTGATCCGAAATCGAGTGATCCGGTTCAAAGACCAGTTCGCGCCCTGATGGGTCTAATTTCGACTGTTTCGAGCCTATCGAATCTTGTGATTCCCGTTTCCCAGCGCATCACGCATACCACTACAGTGCTGCGTGGTGACCGCGGTTCGGTGGTGGTTCGCAGTCGTTCGACGCGTGATCGACAGTGTACGTTTTCAAAAATCAGGTATCTGTCGATCCCCGGGCCTTTTGTTCGCCACTTGGACCCGTCCGTTCGCGAACGGCACGTCATCTCTGGCTGTTACGCGTCACGCGTTTCGTGCTCGCGCCGGTGACGCCACTCGTCATTCGCGTATCGCGCCGAACGTGTTATTCGCTCTTGGTCCGTGTCGTTTTTCCGCCGAACGTCCGAGTGAATGCGCGCTTAGGTTGTCATCAAAACGTCCGGTCCAAAGGTTTCCGGCGCCGCATTCGTTACAGTACAGTATTATATTACATTGTAATGGATCCCGGGGGAAAAAAAAAAAATCCCCAAAGCAACCATACCGTGTCACAATCATATGCAATGCCGGGCGTTGACGAGTTAAAAGTTAAAATCAAGTTTAGACGTCAAGTTAATTTTGATCGAGTCAAATAACTCGTTGATTTTTTTTTTTTTTTACAAATTAACTTCTAACGTAATTAGTTATTTTTTTCGTTTAAGACCGACGCGTTAACTTCAAGTTGATTTTATTCAAACGTATACAAATCAAGTCGATTTCCGTCCAGAGAATAATGCAAAATTATCGAACGGGGTCGTCGATATACTTGTAATTTACTATTTTAATATGAACTATTCCTGTAGACCGAAAACAATACGAAAGTTGACATAATATGGGCTGTATAATATCTATACCTACGCGTTTATCGTTATCAATTGTATTGTCAATAATATTTCCGTGGGTATAGACAACGAAGATCGTCGCTATTTGGCGGGCTCCCCGGAATGGACGTCGAACGTTGTCGCGAACGTTTTTCCGTGATTAAACGATAATCGGCAAGTCCGGATCCGGTTCCACGGTGACCGCCGGCGTTATGAACTGGTCGCGATACGGATGAAACGTCGATCAGTGAAACGACCAGCACGCGTGTACCGTGCCGTGCCGTGCGTGTCGACCACCGTTGGCGCGAACGTATCGCGAATTCGGTATTTTCGCGTGGCGTTCGATCGAATTCGTTCGCGAACGCATGTCTCCCGTAAACGGATACGGGCGAATAGCTTTGTACGCGCGCGGGGTGCATGCCGTCGAAACGAAGAGTGAAGACGCGACGTTATGTCATTATTGTCGTTGTCGTTCGTACGCCGTACGTACGCCGTGAAGCCGTACAATAATAATAATTGTACTCAACCCAAAAAACAGTTGAAATTATCGGAAGTAGGAAAAACTGTGAAAAATCTTAGTCAAACAGAATTTGAAAAGTCTAACCTAGAACTCATTATAAACACTGTGTCACCTTTTTCTTTGTCACTTAACATCGAATAAAGTTCTTATGTCTAGAAGAAGTTTGATGAGAAATGTAACCTCATTGTCCAACGATACGATTCAACAACTGAAGACTGAATTAGAAAAAATTAAACATTACTGCAGATTGCTGGAGTATTTTACGCAGGTAAAATATTATTTTTAATCAATTATTAATTGTTAATATTAATTAATCAAAAAACTAAATTTTTAATTGTTATTTAATAATAATATTCAACCTATATTTACAAAATAAATTTATTGCAGATCATACATGGGTTTCACAATTCATTGGATGAACCCAATTACATTGGAACGTAATTCCCGTGTACTTGCTTGTGGACGTATGTTAGGGAGGCATGCATACGATAATATAGCAGAAATAATTGAAAAAGTTCTTACAGAAATTGACATACAGTCTAAAACCACTCTAATAGTCGCAGATAACGCAGACAATTTTGTAAAAGCTTTCAAGTAAGATATATATTTTAGAATTGCCTATTTGTAATAGTTATGAATGTCATGATTTATTATAATGTATTTTAGCGAATTCATTAAGCCATGATCATCGTACATCAACGTTTTAAATTTTATTTAAAATATATACAGTTTTGATAATCAGATTTTATTTCATCTTTTTCAACAGTATAAAAAATGGTAGAATTAATTAATCTCTAAACGCTGGTGTACGATCATAATTTGTTTTTACTTTCTATAATATATACTAATTGTATATATTTATATATTGTAATATTTTGTAATAGTTATTCATTTTATTTTTATAATTACAATTATTATTACAAGTTTTTCAATTTTAAATGTAATTATTTTGATCTCAGAGTGTTTGGTGTTAATAACGAAATTGACAATAGTGGTTATAATACTGAAATGCGTGGAATTGAAATTGAAGAAAATGATGAAATATTGAGAACCGTAAATATCACTGAAATACTTGATGGTCAAATTGGTCAAAATATAAATGATATATTAGATATAAAATTACTGATACATCAAAGACGTGCAGCGCACATATTGAATTTAATTGTAACAGTTGATATTCTAAGCAGCAAAAGATGGTTCATTCAAAGTACTTAGTAGACGTGTGTTTGCTAAATGTCAATCTATTTTCAATAAGCAGAATCAATCGACACAGTATGCTGATAAAATTAAAGAAATTCTGGGATGATACTTTTAAAACCAAACGCTACCAGGCAAGTTAATATTATTTACATTTTAATACTTTAAAATTGAATATCATGTATTATGACTTATAAGTGTTTCATTGTTAATAATAAAATAAGTTCCTATAATTTTCAGATGGAATTCGTTTAAGGATGCCATAAAATGTATTGTTGATCATATAGATAAAATGGATACAATATTCACAGCATTTCAATTAACTCCTTTTTTTTGGTCAAAGAGAGTCTTCATTTTTAGTCAGATACTGCTAGGTAAGATATTATTAATTATATAAATCATTAGGTATAATGAAAGAAATTTAATAGTTTTATAGTGAATTTACTAAAGTAAAAATGTTTTTCTTTATTCTTATTAATTTGTCACTACTCTGGGTAGAAGGAATTGAGAAGGAAATTAAATTTTTCTTCAACTGGATGTATGATACTTATTATTTTGTTATCTTAAGTGATGAAACCAATTGCAACAAAGTTGGATGTTTTACAAGGTAAACAACATGTGTGTATTGGATATCTATTACCAACAATTACAGCTATAAACAAATTTAATAATTTAAATTTCTGTAGACCATTGGTTCATGCTTTAAAAAATAGATTAACTAAAAGATACTTTTATACAATTTTTTAATTTTTATAATAATATATGTACGCCAATGCTATTCATAAAAATTAAAACTTAATTATTTAGTTTAAATGGTACAAAAACATTTTACAAAATAATTTCATAAATATCATTTTATTATTTATTTATTTATCATGTTTAGCAACAGTGGAAGTACCAAATTGGTAAACTTTAAATAATTGCATAATAATTCATAAGTTTTAGAAAGACAACTTCTATGTATATAATTAACTATTTTAAATGTATAGTTATTTTTATATCCTATACAGGTATTTAAATTCTTTGCACCAAAGGTTTGAAGTTTATACAAATTATGTAATTTTTTAAGATATTTATTAAAGGTTTAACATTTGTTGTTTTATTTTTATCTAAAAATAAAATACAAAATAATTATGGTTTTACTGATAAGTGTCCATGTTGGGCTGAGCCTAGTCTTTTAAACTACACGGTGGCTGCACTTTATCTACCCAGTATAGAAAATATATTTGGGTGGTGGGTACTGCCTGTTTGATTTTTAAAATTAGTGTGAATCAATTAAAAATATAGGTATCTTAGCAGTTGGGAGAAAACTATCAATGGTGTTTTTTTTTTTTTAATTTTTGGATGTAAACCACTCGGGTAAATTTATTTGATTATGAATTCAGAACTAGGATTTATTTTAGAAAAGTAGGTTTTTTGATAGCTAGTTAATACTTTTATGCATCATTATAAATTTCCTCAGTAATTTTATTGAGCATAAAAAAATAATATGTGTGCAATTTTTTATTTTTTCAAATTAGAAAATTTTAACTTTCAACTAAGTTAAGTTACTTTTTTTTTCAAAGTTAACTGTTAATTTAACGAGTTAACGAAAAAATATTAGTAATTCTTAATTTTACTTAACTTTATTATTTTAAAATAACTTAACTTAAAGAGTTAAAAAAATCGTTAACTTGCCCAGCCTTGATTATATGTATTAAAAAAAATTTGAAAATACTATATTTTGAACACCTTCGTCTAATAAAAAACTTACAATATTTTTGTTGTTTGTAGGTATAACCATTAAGACATTTTTATTTTTTCCTTGTGTGGGTTTAATTGTTTCTATAATTGCACAATCGTACAGATTGAAATTACTGTACAGGAACAGAAGAAGTACTAACCGTAATAACTGTGTAATAACTAACAATGTGTTAACGCGTATATACCGAATGTGTCTAAATAATTTGTATCTAATGAATTTTCTCCATAACACAATTTATCACTTTAAATAGTTGATTTTAGTCATTTGGCAACTGAGATTATAGTTTTTATAGTTAATAGTTTTTAGTTAATTATGCGGGCTACCTTCGAGAGAGTAGATAGCACTGTTATATTTAACAAATTATTTTTTTGGAATATTTATTGTTTCGTTTACAATCTATAGACTAAACAACCGTACGGATAACAATGATTAGACGATAATTTATACATATTAATAAAATTGTAGTAGGTATGTCAGTTAACTTCCTACCCGAGAGTAAAATTTTCTACCAGAGAACTTGCTACGATTTTTACATGTAGTACCTTTTCTGAAAGGAAATCGGTGTGGGGAGGTACTCTAAGAAGGTAATTTCTCAAGATTTTTCCCAGAAAATGTAAAAACCATGAAATTCGGTATATTAAAAAAAAAAAATTATTAAAGATAATATATAATGTCTATTTAATTATTTTACCATAATTAAACGTATATATTGTTGGCAAAGCATCACCTGAACTCCGTTCAGAATTGTTTTTTCGTTAGCAATGGTTAATCGTTGCTAACAGATATACATTAAACTACCTATAACCCTAGAGTAATATAAAGAGGGCCTCACGAACGTAATTTGAAGCAAACTAGGAGTACTTTCAAGATATACTAAGTACCTTTATACTATCATATTTAATGCATTTCGCCACATATTATTGCATAGTGGGAATATTATACTAAAATATAATTTATTAGAATACAGTGAAAACTCCATAACTCGCATCGGTGGAGGACAAACAAAAAAAAAAGTCGAGTTATCGGAAATTCGATTTGAAGAATAAAACATACAAAATATATGATTATTAGAGGGTGGATTTTTAGGTTTTTATATATATTTATTGGCTTTATACAGCGCAACGATAGTGAAAAACACGTTTTCATGAAAGAAAATTTGTTTTGCATAATTGAGCATATTTTGAAGATTATAGAATATAAATTACCTATATATAGGTATATGTAGAGAATATATTTAAATATAGAATATTATATATATTATACAAAACAACAAAACACAATAACGTTGTTGATAATAAAATTTAATTTTAATTATTTTTGTTATCAAACAATTTCATTATCTATAGTAAATTGATACATAGGTGACAATAATTTACGTGGTTTTAACCAATTCTTAAAGTGGTGTTCCGTACCAAAGTGAAAAAAAAGATCTAATCTGATTGTTTGAAATCTTAATAATTTAGAAATTTGTAAAGGTTCATAAATCTCTTTATTTTAGAATTGAGGCCATAGGTTTTTAAAATATTATTTTTCATTTCAACTTGTATGAATGTTATATCACTAATATTAAAGTTATTACTAATATATAAACTTAAAATAAATTTAGCATAGACTGATACAAAAGTTCGACTGCATTTTCAAAATTAAATGTTGTATAATAACAATGTTATCAAATGATTATCTAATGATCTTATTATTTAATGATCATAACCAAATGCCGACTGCCACTGTTTTAAGTTGGAATTGGGGAAGGTAGGATACACAAAGTTATTTAATTTATATCTGTAAGCAACGATAAACCATTGCTAACAAAAAACGATTCGGAGCAAAGTTCACAGTGGCTTATCTGACTTAACTCTTGAAGAAGGTATTATCCTCAAGCACCTCCCACCCCCAAAAAAATCGTAGGTGTGCCCAAAGAGTTGAAATAAAATATATTGTACCTACTTAGATTTTTTTTTTACAAACTTACATACCTAGGTACCTACTTAATATTTTACTATAACAGTAACAATTGTTACAGTTACTGAAAAAAATCACAGTTGCCAGTTGGCCATCCCTGCGAATAATACAACTTTAGGTAATTTTGATAATTTTTTTTTCGATAACATTATAATTATTGTCTACGAAATAAAATCCCGAAATATTTACGCGCAATAATGTACGTGTCGAATGATTTAAACTGCGACACTTTTAATATTATTTTTCACAACCGATATCACATCGTAATATTGTGTGCCTATTATTATGTTATAACGTGTATAGGGTATAACTGATACCAGATAATTATATACATTGCATAAACAACCTGTATTATGAATTATAGTGATCAATATATGCATAATAAAATATCATTTCAATTTCGATTTTATGTAATAAAATGGCAATTCAAACGTTATAGGTACCTAATAGGAACTATAGCTATAGCTAGTAGACACTAGGAACCTATAATACTATACTAGAGAAACACAATATACGGCCATATTATATTTAAATGTTCAGCAGTTATCTGATGTGTACGGATACCTATACATGAAATATTTTAGAACCGTATAATTTCCCTTGAAAATGCTTATTAAAATAATAACAGGGTATACTGCAACAATATGTTGTGATAGATTATAAAAACGGGAGGGAAAAAAGCCTAAGCTATTCGTATTGCAGTATATTATGTTTTACCTACCTGTGGTCAGTGTTTTAAATCAAAGCGTTTATACATGTAGAAGTAAAAAAAAAAAAAAAATCAATAATAACATCACGTCTATGATTTTATTGTAACGATAAAACAATAACAAAGCTCAATACTTAATTGTAGAGTTTGTCGTCGTTGTACTACATCATATACATACTTGTATATTGTGATAACTTCAATACAAATCGAGTTAAAAGGACTCCCAAAATACAAAAAAAACTTTGAATAATAGTCAACCACCAACAGTTATAACCTACTTAACCAGCTATATCAGCGTGATCTACACCAATGTTGAGGAAAGCATTCCCTACTAACTCGTGAGATAATAAAGGTTCTTTTATATTTACTACACGCTTTACATTCAGAAATAAAATTCTTGAAATCATTTGCCATGTATGGCCAGTATATAACTCGTTTTGCTTTCGCATAGGTTTATCAGTACCCATGCGATCCGCTTGCAACTTTATCATGAACCCTTTTCTATGTGTTTTAGGAACTGCAATACAGTTATTAAAACAAATTAATCCCTCACTGACAGTGATATGTTGCTTTTGCTTAATACATTTTTTTAATTCAAAATTA